GTGTGTTATGGTGACTGTGTGTGTGTGTGTGTAGTGTGTTATGGTGACTGTGTGTGTGTGTTGTGTGTTATGGTGACTGTGTGTGTGTGGTGTGTTATGGTGACTGTGTGTGTGTGGTTTGTTATGGTGACTGACTGTGTGTGTAGTGTGTTATGGTGACTGTGTGTGTGTGGTGTGTTATGGTGACTGTGTGTGTGTGGTGTGTTATCATGACTGTGTGTGTAGTGTGTTATGGTGACTGTGTGTGTGTGGTGTGTTATGGTGACTGTGTGTGTGTGGTGTGTTATGGTGACTGTGTGTGTGTAGTGTGTTATGGTGACTGTGTGTGTGTGTAGTGTGTTATGGTGACTGTGTGTGTGTGTAGTGTGTTATGGTGACTGTGTGTGTGTGGTGTGTTATGGTGACTGTGTGTGTGTGGTGTGTTATGGTGACTGTGTGTGTGTGTAGTGTGTTATGGTGACTGACTGTGTGTGTAGTGTGTTATGGTGACTGTGTGTGTGTGGTGTGTTATGGTGACTGTGTGTGTGTGTAGTGTGTTATGGTGACTGACTGTGTGTGTAGTGTGTTATGGTGACTGTGTGTGTGTGGGGTGTTATGGTGACTGACTGTGTGTGTAGTATGTTATGGTGACTGTGTGTGTGGTGTGTTATCATGACTGTGTGTGTAGTATGTTATGGTGACTGTGTGTGTGTGGTGTGTTATCATGACTGTGTGTGTAGTGTGTTATGGTGACTGACTGTGTGTTTAGTGTGTTATCATGACTGTGTGTGTGGGCAGTGGTAGTGGAGCGGTTAGCGCGCCGCGCTACGAACCCGGCAACCCGAGTTCGATTCCCGCTCACAGCCAACACCACCAGTGGCGATTATCTGAACTGGTTCTAGCCCCCCTCTAGGTCGACTCAGACTTAAATGAGTACCTGGTGAGGTGTGTTAAACATCGCCACTTGGGAGACAAAGGTGCTTGCTAACAGCACTTGCCCCAACAGTCTGTTATGGCTATACGGGGGGGGGGGTCTTTGTGTTCAAGTGTGTGTGGGATGTGTGTTTGTGTGCTTATCGTGTATCTGATGTGTACAAGGTGTCTGTAGAATGTGTAATTTTTTGGTTTGTATTGTGTGTTAAATGTGTGTATTGTGTTAAATGTGTGAATTGTGTAAGTCTTGATTTGAAGCTTTCGTGACTGCAAGGATTCATACTCTTTGGTTTTTTCGGTAAAGTCACGTAGGTAAAATAAAATAAAACAACTAAATTAAATCACGACGTTTCGGAGGCAACACAAGCTTCCGTCTTCAGGTGGAAGAGTCCCAGCAAAATAGTTTTGTATACAGTATTGTGGTCACAGCAAAATAGCTGACTGCAAAATAGCTGTGAAAATAGCTGTGACTGTTCCACCTGAAGACGGAAGCTTGTGTTGCCTCCGAAACATCGTGATTTAATTTAGTTTTCATTTATTTTATTTTACCTACGTGACTTTGCCGAAAAAAGTGTGTAAGTCTTGTTTTGTATACAGTATTGTGGTCGCAGCTTTGTCTGTGATGCATCCTGTGTAAGTGTTGTGTTGTGCCTATTGTTTGTGAGAGACCCGGTAACACAACAGCGTGGCGCGCATGTTCTCACGGGTTTATTCCGAAGAGCCCCTCCATCCCATCTCGCCAGTCCTGCCGGTGCCTCCTTCACCCCTTCCGAACTCGCTGGGGGATTGAGATTGGCCTCGAGACACTGTGGCCTTGTCCTGTCCCCGTGTACCAACCCTGCCCCCTACCCCGTGTACCAACCCTGCCCCCTACCCCTGTACCAACCCTGGCCCCCCTACCCCGTGTACCAACCCTACCCCCCTACCCCGTGTACCAACCCTGCCCCCTACCCCTGTACCAACCCTGGCCCCCCCTACCCCGTGTACCAACCCTGCCCCCCTACCCCGTGTACCGACCCTGCCCCCCCTACTCCATGTACCAACCCTACCCCCGTACCAACCCTGCCCCGTACCCTACGTGCCAAGCCTATCCTCGTATACCTCGCACCCACCAGCCTCCAGGTGACAATGATGATGCTGCTGCTGATACTAAAGTCATTGAAGCTGATGCTGCTGCGGACGATGCTTACAATAATGAAGCCGATGCCTATGTTACTACTGCTGCTATTGTTGACCGCAGTGTTCTGGGACGAGGGGAACAAAGGGGGTTACTCGGAGGAGAGACAAACAGGGCGGCCACTAGCCCGGCTCTCATCTGTGCCTGCCCGTGCATGCGTGCTGTGTGCCATTGTGTTCACGCCTGTGTGCACGCGTGTCTCTGCGTATATCCATCAATGTGTTTACACCTGTGTGTAACTCCATTATCATGTCCCTCTAGCCTGACACCGCAGTCTCTCTTTAGCTCAATGCTGTGGCCAGTAGCCCAACACCCCATGGCTCACACGGAGAACAAAGGACGTCGAGCCGGCGTTGGTGCCTGTGTGTGTGCATCTGCGCCTGTGTGTCAGTGCGTTTGCGCATGGGTGCATCTGTGCCTGTGTGTTTGTTTCTTTGTGTCACGCTTTGTTTTTTGTGCGCGTGTTCATGGCTGTGTGCGTGATTTAATGTGTATCTGTACCTGTGTGCCTATGTTTCTTTACCACTGTGCGCATGTCTGCTTGTGTGGGCTTGCCTGTGCGGCTGTGTGTGCCTTCCTGCCTGTGTGTGCCCTGTGTAGGCTACACGGTCAAAGGGGGTCTTTGTCTTTGTGACCGTGAACCAGGCTCGAATCCCAGCCATGGCTAACATCAGCGGCAATTATTGGAACCAGCCCTGGGTCTCGCTTAGGTCGACTCAGCCTTAAATGCGTTCGCTGGTGTGGCGGTGTATTAAACATCTTCTCTGGGGAGATGCAGGCGGCCGGGTATGGTCCTCACCGCACCACATATACAACAGCACCACCCCATGTGCACTGTGTAAATGTTTTGGTGACGCCTTGGTGTTCATGTTCTCCAGCAGAGACCCAGTCTGCTTACAATCAGTCACCATTCTGTGCTCTCGTCTGCACTGCATGGTTGGTTACGTACGGTGCAAAAGAAGTTCTACATATATACATGCATACGTGCTTTCCTCTCCAGCAGCAATTACTTACTATTTATCCTATATTCAACTTTTGTTGAACATAAAATGTTATCGTCATTCATGGAAGTCAGAATACAGAGTAGATTTCAAAAAGAGGAGGAAAACGGCAGGTAACGTTGAACAAAGCCGGCACTATAAACCCCCAAGTGTAGGGTTCGAGCCGGGCCGTCCGGGCTCTCGCTGCCCTACCGCGGTCGGGGTAACGATCGGGAGCAGGGTGGGAGCAGCAGGGTGGGAGCAGCAGGGTGGGAGGAGCAGCAGGGTGGGAGCAGCTGGGTGGGAGGAGCAGCAGGGTGGGAGGAGCAGCAGGGTGGGAGGAGCAGCAGGGTGGGAGGAGCAGCAGGGTGGGAGGAGCAGCAGGGCGGGAGGAGCAGCAGGGTGGGAGCAGCAGGGTGGGAGGAGCAGCGGGGTGGGAGGAGCAGCAGGGTGGGAGGAGCAGCAGGGTGGGAGGAGCAGCAGGGTGGGAGCAGCGGAGTGGGAGGAGCACCAGGGTGGGAGCAGCAGGGTGGGAGGAGCAGCGGGGTGGGAGGAGCAGCGGGGTGGGAGGAGCAGCAGGGTGGGAGCAGCGGGGTGGGAGGAGCAGCTGGGTGGGAGGAGCGGGGTGGGAGCAGCAGGGTGGGAGTAGCAGGGTGGGAGGAGCAGGGTGGGAGGAGCGGGGTGGGAGCAGCGGGGTGGGAGGAGCGGGGTGGGAGGAGCGGGGTGGGAGGAGCGGGGTGGGAGGAGCAGCGGGGTGGGAGGAGCAGCGGGGTGGGAGGAGCAGCGGGGTGGGAGCAGCAGGGTGGGAGCAGCAGGGTGGGAGGAGCAGCAGGGTGGGAGCAGCAGGGTGGGAGGAGCAGCGGGGTATTTTAAGGGGGAGGGGAAGAAGATGGTATAACGGGAAGGGGGTGGGGTTTATTTAAACTTTTAAAGTTTCTCCACATTATTACTTGGCCTTATTTGTATCAAATTATAAAATGTTATACTTGAAAAGTTCTTAATATATAGTGTACTTAAATTGCCTTGGGTGTTTGTGTATTACTCAGTGGCTTAGATTTAGGTAACTTCATATGCCAATTTATAAACTGGTCATCAATTTACATGTTTACAATATCATTCTTATCAAGCCCCATGGTGTAAGCAAGTGCAGTCTCCAACTCTTTATCATCAACACATTTGCCATAAACACTTTCGCCTTTAAAATGAAAACTATAATAGGTGACGTTTTGAGCGATGACCCTTCTTCACAGTGTATCTACGAGTTGTATACTGTGTTGTGAAGGGGCCATGCCCCTAAACGTCACCTATTATGTATTTGCAAGGCCACACACACAGGCAGTGTTATCGACTAATGTGTTTGAGGTTTTTTTTTATGTATCCCAAATCGCCCTCGCAAAAGAGGCAAATTATTATTTATTTGGTGTGCGTGCGCTGGGCCGCACAGGGCAGTAGCTTCGTCCCCTCCCCCCCCACCTGTGCAGGCTCCGCTGCGCGTGCACACTCAGGAGACGCCGGCCGGTTCGCAACTGTTGAGCGCGGCGCCGAAGATGCAACCCAGGCGGGCGGATCGTAGGGTTCGAGCTTCAATAGAACCGGCTCCTTGTTTCACACGTGTGTCTCCATGGGTTTATTTCACCTCCCGGTTAAATAAAGGAGGCTGATTGTGCCAGCCTGAATAGGTGTCCGCTAACGGCGCTCGCCCCAACCGCTCGTTCGGCTATTGGTGGCTCTTTGTGTGTGTCCATGCCTTCCTGAGTTCAGAACAGTGTGTCTACCCTAGCGTGTGCCATGTGTGTGTGCGCTTATGTAACTACCTATGTGTTTATACCTGTGTCTGGGCCTGCTTCTGTTTGTGTGACTGTGTATGTCTGTACACTTGATGTGTTTATGACTGTGTGTGCCTGCCTGTGTGTGCCTCTGATGGGAACCAGGCCCAGATGAAGTTCCCTCAGGACTACCCGTACTCGCCCCCCACGTTCAAGTTCCTCACCAAGATGTGGCACCCTAACGTGTACGAGGTGAGTGGGGGGGCACGGGAGTGCCAAGGGAGGCGGGGACTCCACACCATACCGGTCAGAGGAAACACATTGGGGGGGGGGGGAGTGGGGGAGGGAGTTGGTGCCGCGAGGGGGCGCAGGCAAAGGAAACAAACAGGGGAAGTGACGAGCGGACTTGTTTTGGCCTCCGTTGCTGCGCGACTCTCTCACTTGCGTGCGCTTGTGACATTCGGTGTTGTCACAGTATCGCGCTGTGCACGAGCGATGCCTGGTAGCCACGTGTGCTGTGTTTCAGGGAAGTTTGGCTGTGCAAGTTGTTTTAGTGACATGTAGTGGTGTTGTGTGGGTGACGTGCTGTCTGTTCCTCGCTGTGCCTGTGTGTACGTTTGTGTTTGTTTGCCCGTGTGTATGCCTGCGCCCGTGTGTACCCGTGTGTCTGTACCTATGTGCTATGTTAACGCCATTAAATGAGTACCTGATGCGGGATGTTGTAAACATCGGCATGTGCCGGGCTGTTCGTCATAGGTGCTGGCCTTCGAAAGTGAGTGCTAATAGCACTTGCCCCAGAAGTCGGTTAAAGGCTAAGCGGGGGAGGGGTCTTTGTGTGCTCACCGGGTGTCGGCAGAATGGAGACGTGTGCATCTCCATCCTGCACCCGCCTGTGGACGACCCCCAGAGTGGGGAGCTGCCCTCGGAGCGGTGGAACCCCACGCAGAACGTCCGGTACCTACCCCCCCCCTTCCCCTCCATGCGGCGAATCGGTTGGGAGGGGACCGAGTTTACAATAACTGTGCTAAGATTGCCGAAGCTATTCCGTGGGGTTGGAGGTCCTCAGATGGATTCTCCGGCAAAGCATGTGGGGGGTGAGCGATAGACTGCAGTCGCCGTTAAGCTCCTCCTTTCCTACTTACGGGGGGAGTCGCACATAGAGCCATAGGCCAAATACGATACAATACGATGGTCATGGGAGTGATGGGTTACACTTGGCTTCGGTCACAGTTGGGCGACGTGAACTCGGATCGCGAGAAACCGTAGTGCACTATCCACGACGCCGCAGACGTAACAACCACTACAACAACAGCAGCCATTTGCTACTGAGTGGCGGTGACATCACCCTGGTTCTTGTGCCACACTAAGGTTCAGTTTGAGGCCGTCACGTGAAGCGTGGAAAGCTCGCTGCTGGCAGGTGTTGTGGGTTACACCAGGGGGTTGACAACCAAAATAACAGCCACCTTTTTCGAATTCGGTAAAAAAAACGCAACATTTCAAGAGCCGCCATGCAACGTGAATAAGAGATGGTGGTACTTAATAAATAAACGTGAATAAGAGATGGTGGTACTTAATAAGTAAACGTGAATAAGAGATGGTGGTACTTAATAAATAAACGTGAATAAGAGATGGTGGTACTTAATAAATAAACGTGAATAAGAGATGGTGGTACTTAATAAATAAACGTGAATAAGAGATGGTGGTACTTAATAAATAAACGTGAATAAGAGATGGTGGTACTTAATAAATAAACGTGAATAAGAGATGGTGGTACTTAATAAATAAACGTGAATAAGAGATGGTGGTACTTAATAAATAAACGTGAATAAGAGATGGTGGTACTTAATAAATAAACGTGAATAAGAGATGGTGGTACTTAATAAATAAACGTGAATAAGAGATGGTGGTACTTAATAAATAAACGTGAATAAGAGATGGTGGTACTTAATAAATAAACGTCACAAAGCAGTCCTTAAAGAGCCACCGCCTGCGGCTCCGGGGCCCTGGGTTAGATGACCGAGGAGACTGGCGATGCACCACCTGCCCCCTCGCTGTGCCCACTCGGGCGGGCACACCAGCGGTCGATACGAGTTGCGATGACGGTCTGGTTGTTTTAACTCCCCCCCCCACCGTGCGGCGCTGCCACAGGACGATCCTGCTGAGCGTGATCTCGCTGCTCTCGGAGCCCAACACCTTCTCGCCAGCCAACGTGGACGCGTCGGTCATGTACCGCCGCTGGCGCGACAGCCGGGCCAAGGACAAGGAGTACGAGAACATCATCCGGTGCGGGTGCCCGCCGCCCACAGCGCGCGCACGCAGCGCCAGCCGCATGCGCGCATCGACACACACGGACACACGGCATCGGACGGGTTTGGGTACACGCTCGGTGACCATCGACGTTCGCCGCCGAGTGGCGGTGACGTCACCCCGGCGCTTGTGCCGGGTGGGGGGGATGCACTTTTGAGGCCGCCAGGCGAAGTGCGGAAGGCTCGCTGCGGGGCAGGTCATTGGTTAACTGACTGGCTTACTGGCACCAGTACGTACGCACGTGCGTACGTACTGGTGCGGCAATTCATCGGCCAGCCACCCGATACGATTTGATTACTCGTCGCCACAATTTTGTAGTCGAGGTTCTTGACGTTTTGTTACTCTTGTTACCGTCTGGTTCATATTGTTTTAATGGTTCCGATTCTGTTGTCCACGCGTGTGTCTGCGCGTGTCTTTGCCCGCGAGCAGCATGCGGGTGCTGGCAACGCAGGCGGACGCGGACCGCGATGGCGTGAAGGTGCCCACCACGCTCGCAGAGTACTGCGTGAAGCCGCGGGCACCGCCCCCCCGAGACTCGACCTCCGACCTCCTCTACGACGACTTCTGCGATGACCTCGATGAGGACGACGACGACGACGACAACGAGGACGGATACTACGACGGCGGAGACAACAACGACTCTGGCAACGAGGAGTCCTGACAGTGCGGCCCCGTGACCCAGCGACCTCTCCCTCCCTCCGCCTCCTTCCCCCCACCCCCCCCACCCACTGCTCCCGCCTGCTCCTCTCTCTCAACGCAGGGCGCTCAATCCCCACAATCCCCCCCGATATGCCGCCAAACCCGGGCCGACTGCGGCCATTGTAAAATACATTGCGCGATAACTAACAGTAATGATGGCTAACGAATGGCGGCAGCGGCAAAGATGCAAAGGAGGCGATGCGAGTGGTGGTGGCGTGGGCAGCGTGATTCACTAGGGTAGCTTTGCCCCCTCTCTCATAAGCTCACCCCTCCCACCTTGACCCCCCCCCAAATAAATGACCTCAAATCCCTTTTTATAATTTTCGCCAGCAACTCCATCAGTCATGACAACAGCAGCAGTAGCAGCAAGGCGCCTACAGCGCCCACAGGTTCCTCCCCCCCCCCCCCCCCCCCCCCAATATCCTGTGCGCAATATAAATAATAAAACAAACTTTTAAAGAGTAAGTTAGAAATAAAAATGTTAAGCTGACAAGGGCGTATGTGATGAGTGAACAGGCCATCTCGGCCTCCGAGCGCTAGCGAGCTGGCGTCGCGCGTGCGCACCCAACGAGACCGCGCCCGTCTCGTTTCAACACTTTTGGTTTTGCGTCTGATATTTTATTTCGTGAAGTGCTTCTGTTCCCAACCGTAACGTTACCGTCTCCTTTCCTCGTTGCGTTTTTCGAGATTGTGCTCGTTTAGTAAAGTTTTGCGTTTAAATTCGTCTGTTACCTTCTCTTCCTCTCTCCATTCCATTTCTTGGGCCCTAAGTCAACGCGTTGGAGCGCGAGGGAGACCCAGGGGTAGAGGCCAGGGCGCGGGACGCCAAGGAGTGAGAATCCGGTGACCTTTGGGTTGGTGGGGGCCACCGCGGGGACACACGTGGCCTCGACCCCTCCTCCCGGAAGTCGACCCCCGCCGTGCGAGTCGAGGCACTGTCGTGCTTTACAAAGCTCTGCGTGCCCCGCGTGGCTTAAGCCTCCCTACGCTCATTGGGTCTTCCTTGCCTCCGCCGCAATCTCGGGGCCGCATTCGAGTGACGGACTAGTGAGAGTGTTCATGTACGTTTGACTCTGTTGACACGCACGCATACACACACGCACGCACGCATACACGCACGCGCACACACATGCATGCATACACACACACACATGCGCACACACATGCACGCGCGCGTTTATGCACAGGCACGTCTGTACCCGCCTCCGTCTTAGACCTGTGGCTGTAAATAAAGGACGTCGATCCGCCCAGAGCTCCATCTGCACGTCTGCGTTTCCGTGGGCGTGTCGTCGGTGAGCGTGCGTGCGTGCAACAACACGGAGATACTGCGGCCGAATGCCGGTGCAGAACGTTGCATAGATTTAATTTATTGGGAAAAAGGGGGAGGAAGAAAAAAAACCTCGGACTCGGGCGCACGCAGCAAACGCGCGCGTCGCCGCCGTGCGCCCGGTGCGACGGCGCTCTGGCCTGGCAAAGCGACCGCCGCGGCGCGGCCGTCGCCGGGGGCGTGGCGACGTCACTTCCCGTCGGGCTCGCGGATGAGGGCGAGCAGGCGCTCGAGCTTGGCCGTCTCGGCTTCGGGGCCCCGTGCCGCCTCCTGGCCCTTCTTCTCCTGCAGGCGGCACACGCGTCCAAGCGGTCACCTCCAGCCTCAACCAATGGGTTTCCATTGAACACCATTTAGTGGTTCCCCACTCGGCACGTCTCGAATTTGACCCATTTACCTTCCGTTCCGAGTACGAATTGGGTGTTGTTGCACACGACTTATGCGTGATGATTTCCAAACTCTTCCCACGTGACGCCGAGTTGGCCGACCGTGCCCTCTGCGCGGCAATTTGAATGGGCGCGCTTGCGTACGTAGCGGGATGTGTTTAAAAATCGTCTGGCGCGAGCGGCGTGTGACTTTTTGGATTTTAACGGAGGTAAAACTGGCCAAAACGGGCAGACGCGCCGTGGCAGGTCGCGAGATTTTTGAAACCGTGGGCGCACGGCCACAGGAATTAATGGTGACCAGGAATTGAAAAAAAAACATGGGCATCGCGGCACAAAGCGGCGCCAACCCAAACCATCGCTGGCGCCTGCAGGACAACGTCGCGATTGTCAAGACGGAGCGACCGGTGCGTGCGAGACACGAGCGAGACGCGAAGCCGATCGGTGTGCGGGGAGGCCTGGCTACCTGACCAATGTGGCCAGAGGCTGACGTGGGTCTACGCATCGACCGCACTCCACACACGACACTCTTGTCTGCGCTGTTTTGGATCAGAGCAGATGAGCCTGCTCCTTCGATCTACGCACTTTGCAAAAAATACAACAATTTTGTCAACACTGGCCTTGAAATCAAAACATAAAAGTCTACGTTTTTGGCAAAGGCCTTTCTTGATAGCACATAAACCATTACCTGAAATGCTACCGATTAGATATTTTTTTCCTTTCAAGGCCACACTTATTAACAAATGTGTTGGGTTTTTTTTTAGTTAATTGTGCTTTTGCACCACACTTCCAACGTGGCATCACCAAATAATGTCGTTATATATGTATATATATAGGACTTAATGTCTCAATTCAAATATTTTCCGGGTCGCTGGCCAGAGGAGGTGGCACGTGACTCGCCGTAGCCACAGCCATAGCGAAAAGTATCGATGTGGTGCGCCAGATATGAAAAAAAAATTCAGGGTTCGCTGACTCCGAAGACGAGACTTGGTTGAAATTAAGCTCCGGTCTAGAGTATACACACACACACGTAGACAGTATACAGCATATACTGTTAACAGTATACAGTATATAATGTATTGCACTGTTAGCAGCAGCAGCGCACTGCCGGCGCCGCACGTACTCCCACGCCTTCCTCCGTCGGCCGGCATGACGGGTCGCCCTCCTCCACCAGCTGGACCCGGCGAGCACGGTGGTGGAGCGGCACAAACAGAGACACGGTGAGCGTGGAGGGTGACCGGCGGGGGTGGGGGGTGGGAGGTAGCGGTAGGGTTGGTGAAAGGGCTCGAACTGGCTGTTACTAGCGAGGTAGGGTTAGTGTCGGTGAGATCGCCTGCGAGCGGCACGCACGCACGCAAACGCACGCTAGCGCGCACCGCACACCTTGGGTACGCGCCGCAGATTGGGCGACAGCTTGAGGCTGGAGACGACGCCGCGGTCATCTCCGACGATGAGCACGGGCTGCGAGGGGTTGAAGGCGACGTGCGTGAGCTTCGTGTGCTTCTTGGTGGACACGCTCTGCGTGCACAGCGCCTCGTATTTGTTCACGTTCACGTCGAACACGTGCACCTGCATCCCCCCCGCAACGCACGAGACACGCGACAAGCAATATGGGCATCTGCCTCGAGGGGACCGCAGGGAGGCTGGAAATTACCGCGGCACGGCGGAACGCCGAAAGCGCGCGAGCGAATTGAGTGGTCGCCCGAATACTAGCCGAGCGCTCGCCTATATGCTGACCCTAAGGTGAGCTCAAAGGCTAGCCCATAGGTTAGTCAGAACGTTAGCCCGATGCTTGCTCCTTGGCCATCATGGACGCTGGCCCTACGGGCCGTCACGAACCTTCCCATCGGCCGTGACGGCGGCGAACACGGTAGAGGAGTAGGGGGCCCAGGCGACGTCGCCCACGGCAGCTCCCAGGTCGAAGGTGAACACGGGCGCCCTGGGGTCACACGGAGAACACGGGCACGCACGCGTATAGCATGACGCAGCCCAGACAATGGCAAAACAACAACAAGACTAGTAATCGACTACCCCGGAAAATTTAGGGAAAACGAACAGTTCTTAACTGCATTTGACTGAAGCGCATCTGACGTCCGATCGTCAGTCGAGCATTCGTAACGCGGCACAAATTTAACTTAAAAGGGCATTCAGTGGCGTTGGAGAATACATTAGAGAGGGAAGTCGTGAAATTCCGCCAGAAGTGACGACACCGAAGCCGATGTGTGGCGCGGTGGGAGAGAAGGAGGAGGTGGAAGTGAACTCCAGCCGACCGGAGCTGCGGCCGGAGAAGGGATGTTTGCCCCGTCTGGCACGAGATTGGATGGGGCTGGACGAGGAGGCCGCTTGAGGCCGATCGTAGGTGGCGAGACGGAATGTACGATGAGACAGCAGCTGCGCCGGTTGACACAGTGTGTGTTTTGTAAAGGGTTCTCGAGTAATTTTCGACATACAGAGCTCATTCTGACCGGCAGGAACTAGGGACCTGTTTCACATCATTGGTGCGATCCAACAACTCTCGCCTCCACAGTGCTGGATTACAGGCGTGCAGTGATCTTGTGTACATATGCGTGTGTGTGTGTGTGCGCGCGTACGTGTGTGTCTGCATGTGTGTCTGCGTGTGTGTCTGCGTGTGTGTGTGTGTGCTCACTTGGCCGTGTGCTCCCAGATCTTGAGGCTCCAGTCGGCGCTGCAGGAGGCGAAGACGCGCGTGTGGAAGGGGTTCCAGCGCACAGCCTCCACCGCCATGTGGTGCGCGTCGTACGTGTCCAGGAACTGGCTCGAGTACGCCTTGGAGCACTGCGCGCACGTATATATGCGTATATACTCCTTGGTTCTTTCGGTGAAGTCACGTAGGTAGAAAAATAATAGATCACGACGTTTCGATCGCAACGCAAGCAATCGTCATCAGGCGTAGCCAACCGAGCTAATCGGAGGTGCGAGGGGAGGACAACTAAACACAAAAAGCAGTTCTAAAGAAATTAGTTTTCAATCTAGATGATGATTTAAAAGTGCATAGCCCCAGTGGCTTCCTAATATTGGAAGGAAGAGCATTCCAGATGGTCGCAGAAGCGCATGTGAAAGCACGCGATGCGGTGACCGTCTTTGTTCAGTCACTGCACGGCAGTCACGTGTGACCCCCGCTAGTCAGAAGAATTGCGTGATGTGGGCGACACGCGTGTGCGGGCGACGGTAGGCAACTGAGCTCGGTTGAGCGAGCGGCGCATCACCTTGAGAATCGTCCCATCCTCCGTCCCCACGAGGAACATGTGGTCGATCTGCCGGTGGAAGTCGAAGGACGTCCCGCTACCTGGCGTCGCAGCGGGAGGAGGGAGAGGGCACGGCAGAGTTATGGGAGGCGCGCCACGCGTGACGCGGGCGTTCGGTGTACACGTGTGCACGTGGCGACCCCGTGTGAGCGTGTGCATGCTAGTGCACACGAGCAGGTGCGTGCGTGTGTGTGCGCGAGCACGTGTGTGCACATGAGGGCAGTGTGTATACGCGAGGACGGTTAGCGCGTGGCGAGGACGGTTAGCGCGTGGCGTGCTACGAACCCAGCGAACCAAGTTCGATTCCAGCTCACAGCCAACTTCCAGTGAGGATTATCTGAACCAATCCTAGGCCTCCCCGAGATCGACTCATCCTCAATTGAGTACCTGGTGAGATGGATAAACATCGCCACTAGGGAGACAAAGGCGACCGGGTGTGGTGCTGACCCCTCGTGTGCAGTGCCGGCCTTCATAGGTGCTCGCTAACAGCACTTGTCCCAACAGTCTGTGCAGGCTATATGTGGGATCTTTGTCTTTGTACACGAGGGTGGTGCTTGTGCGTGTGTGTGCGAGCAAGTGCGTGTGTGTGTGCACGTGTGTGTGTGTGTGCGCGTGCATGCGCGTGTGTGCGCATGCGTGCGTGTATGCGTGCGTGTGTGCGTGCGTGTGTGCGTGTGTGCGTGCGTGTATGCGTGCGTGTGTGCGTGCGTGTGTGCGTGCGTGTGTGCGTGCGTGTATGCGTGCGTGTATGCGTGCGTGTATGCGTGCGTGTATGCGTGCGTGCGCGTGTGGCTACTCAGAGTCTCTAAGGCCGGGTCCTCGCCGAGCGGCGCCGCTTGCCCCTCCTCCACGCTCAGCTTCACCACGTCCATACACAGCAGCTCGTTCTGCGGAGGAGACGCGGGCGCCAGACGTGCATGACTCCTTCACGGGTGTGTTTGTGCCCGTGCGCATTTGTGTATGCACGCACGAATGTGTGAACGTGCGTGACGTGTTTGTATGTGTATTTGTGTGTACGTGTGCGTGCATGTGGACGTGTGTATGTGTCCCAGCGCACATGTGTACGTGGGGAGTGGTGGCACCACCCAAATTGGATTCCCACTCACGGCCAATACTGGTGACGAACATATGAACCAGTCCTGGGCCTCCTCTAGGTCGATTCAGCTTCTTGGGGGATCTTTGTCTCTGTGCATGTAAGTGTGTGCGCCTCACCTTGATGAGTGTCCAGGAGGCCACGCGCCCGTCCGAGGACACCGAGAAGAAGTTTAAGTTATTGTCCAGG